CAAAATAATAGTAATTTATAAATTATGAAGGGTTCATGATGGAGGGGGAAGGAAGAGGGAGGGGGAAAGGAGGAGCTGATATTAAGGGCTCAAGTAGAAAGCAAATGTTTTGAGAATGATGGCAACAAATGTACAAATGTGCTTGACACAATGGATATAGTATGGATTGTGATACGTTGTACAAGCCCCCAATAAAATGATTTTTTAGAAAAGGAATAATATAGGCAATTGTAGAATTTATCTGAGCCCATCATTCACTCATTTCATTGCCTGCACACGCACACACACACAGTGGTTGTCAGTTTTATGTTAAACAGCTCTGCAAATGAAAAGTTGGGTGCAGGCATGGCCGCTGTTCCCTCCTGGCGGCTTTAGTGAAGGGTAGGCTTCCTAACCCGGTTGCCAGAGGCCCGTGTTTTTTCCTAGCCGAGGTTCCTTCCTCCATCTTCAAAGCCAGCAGTGTCAAATCTCAAAGTTCCTTCTGTAGTTACATTTTTCTGACATCTTGTCCATGTTTTCTCTGATTAGATTGGGCCCATCAAAAAAAAAAAAGGGGGCCAATCACTTAATGACATCTGCAAAGTCCCCTTCTCCTTGTAAGGTAACATATTCACGCACTTCTTGGGGGGGTGGTCATACCCTGGGGGTTCCTCCCACTCTCTATTTGACCAGTAACCTGGTTTCTTTTTTGAGTTATGTTCCACATTTATTTTCCTATTCTATCCAGGACCTTCTAATATGATCCTTTCTGAGCTGTTGGTAGTGGTAGCTGGGCACCATCTAGTCCTGGTTCCAGGGTTGTGAAGACTGGTGTTTGCCTAGCTGTAAGTCCAATACTTATTGTTTCCACATTTTTCATTATTCATCACCCTTCTTTCTTCTGGACAAGGAGAGACCCAACAGTTGTACCTGAGATGGTTGCTTCTGCACTTTCAAGACCACCGTGGCTTGTCACCAAAGTTGGCGGTAGAACGTTGTCTTTGTGAACTCGTATGCCAATTGACTTGGTTTCCTCCAAGACTTACTGTCCTCAGTCCCCAAGCCCCGCAACTCACTCCTTAAAGGCATTTGTTATTTCTACTAAGTTTTCATAACGTTGCCTCCTGTGTGCTCCACCACTTTCACTGATATATTTGCAGCAAAGGCAAATGAACAAATTTCCTGTCAAATCAAGTTAACCCTGTTTACTCTCTAGCATGTGACTCCCCCCCCTTCTTTTTAGCCTTTTTTCTAATAGTAGTCTCATACACCATTTGTCATTTTATAAGGAACTGCTTTCACTCAGCATGATGTTCTCCAGGTTCATGTGTGTTATAAGGCACGTCATCATTATTCTTTAATGGTGTGCAGTATTGTGCATAGATATAAGTTTATGTATTCATTCTGCATCTGATGGGCAGTTGGATATTCCTGTCTCTCTCTGCTATTGTAAATAGCGCTGTGATGACGTAGGTGTGTGTATACTTCTTTTATTTCTCGAATCCTTCTAATTCCTAATTTCTCTAATCCTTCAAGTAGAAGGATTGATGGGTCATATGGTATTTCATTAAAGAAAGGAAAACATTACTATACAGAAAAGATGGGTACACATCACGAGTGGTCTCTGAGTATAATAGGGCTCACACTGAAGAAAGGAA